GGATATGAAGAACACTTGGTCAAACTTTGACCCATTAAAAATTTTATCATCATCCTATTTGACTTTTTCATTATTATTGACAGATTCAATGTTTAACGATTCAATTGGATACGAGGAACACTTGGTCAAAGTTTGGTCAATTCAAAATCTTATCATCATCATCTTATTTGACTTTTTCATAAATGTTGGCCGGATAAGATTTAGTATTTACCAATTCAATTAGATATGAGGAACACTTGGTCAAACTTTGACCCATTCAAAATCTTATCATCATCTTATTTGACTTTTTCATAAATGTTGACCGGATAAGATTTAGTATTTACCGATTCAATTTGATATGAGGAACACTTGGTCAAACTTTAACCCATTCAAAATCTTATCATCATCATCTTATTTGACTTTTTCATATTTAACCAATTCAATTTAAAGATAAGCTTAGAAGACCTATTCAAAATCTGTCTTTGACCGGATAAGATTTATTATTCTCCGATACATAAAATTATTGTATATGATGCTTAAATGCTTGTACCTCTTAAAATTCAGCAAAATCTTGTATATGCTTTTTAAGATATATATATATATATATATATATATATATATATATATATATATATATATATATATATATATATATATCGTTGGTTCGTTAAAAAAATATGCATATAAAAAATTTATTGCCTTCCTATCAAAAGTTTTATTTCTTATTTGATTTGGATTATATATATATATATATATATATATATATATATATATATATATAATCCAAATCAAATAAGAAATAAAACTTTTGGTAGGAAGGTAAGAAATTTTTTATATGCATATTTTTTTAACGAACCAACAAAATGAATCATTAGATAAATTAATGTTACAACCCGAACCTTTTTCCAATCAACAAAAGTCAAATACCGTTAAATAAAATTTTGAATTTTATTTGTTCCGTTAAATTCTTGTGTGTTAGAAAATCATTTAAATTATACAAATAAAATTTATATAAGAGTCGGAACCAAAAACACGTGAAAAACCGGGTTTTCCTTTAAAAATCAGCAAAAATCCCGTCAGCCCTATGTTTACGGCCGAAAACCCTTGGCCGGAAACCTCTGGCCGTAAACCCTGGGTGGTAAACCGTTTACAGCCGAGAACTTGATTCCGACTGCAAACTTAACCGGTATAAAGGTTTTTCCCGGAGAGATTCTTCATTTCTCATCTTTTTCACCCAAAAACTCTCTCAAATCTCTCTCAAGAACCTCCCAAGAATATTCAAATCATCAAGATCAAACCTTCAAATCTTCAATTTTTTCACCAAGAACAACCTTCAAATCTTCAAAGGCTGCAAACCGTTCACGGCCGCAAACAGTTCCCTACCGAAAACTCGTTTACGGCCGTAAACATTGTTCACGGTCGTAAACCCGAGATTCCAACCGAAAACAACCTTGGACCATGAACCTTGGCTGAAAACCTACTTTTCTCATTCCAAACAAGTCTCGGTTACATTTCTAAACAAAAAGCAAGTGTTTTCCAACACTATAATTAATGGTTTCACTAATTAAAAATAAAATACAATTATGTGCCTATTTATAATTAGGAAACCGTTAATACCATATACTACAACTTGTCATAACTAACAAATTTAGGTTAGGAAGTTGGCATTTGTACAAAAAAAAAAAAAAAAAAACTGCTTGTGTAATCTTCTAACATTTCATTTAGTGAAATTCAAACGTCAATGATATTAAGTTCATACTTGCGTACATTGTCATTCAAGTCGAAGCAACCACGTAAAGACCCAAAAACTCGATCCAATAAACCAAATCCAATTATCTTTGGGCCTTAGCCCAAAAATCCTCAACCCAAAACCTTTATTGGACCAGTATTTCCTTATTGGGCCCTATTGGACCGATAACCTCACATTGGGCCCTAATGTGCCTAAAAACCCCATTTAATTGAGCCAACACCCTCCCTAAAACATTTTGGGTTGTCTTGTGGGCCAAGAACACTCTCCTAATTCGCCCAAATTGAATTATATATATATATATATATATATATATATATATATATATATATATATATATATATATATATATATAATCAAGATCAAATAAGAAGGAAATTTTTGGTAGGAAGGTAAGAAGTTTTTTTTCTACATATTTTTTTCATGAACAAACAAAATGAATCATTAGATGATTCATTTGTAAGATGATTCACAAGAAAAAATTCTCAAAAAAACATCTTGATGATTCATTTATATAATGATTTTGTTGTTATTCACTAAAATTGTCATAAAAAATGAATTTTTTCTTAATTTACTTAAAAATGAATCATAAAGATGTTTTTTTGAGAATTTTTTCTTGTGAATCATCTTACAAATGAATCATCTAGTGATTCATTTTTTTTGTTCGTCAAAAAAATATGTAGAAAAAAAAAACTTCTTACTTTCCTACCAAAAAAAATTTCTTACCGGATCTATATATTTATCTTGGCTAGACCTGGTAAACGTGTCATGTCGTGTCGGGTTCGTGTCGTGTCAAGACATTAAACGGGTTGAAAGGGTTTGATCCTAACCCGACCCGTTTAATTATCGTGTCGTGCCGTGTCAACCCGTTTATTTCCGTGTCGATTTCGTGTCGGGTTTCAGGTTAAGGTTTAGATCTTGTAATTATGTTGTGTCATGTCGGGTTGAAATATTTTAAAGGTTAGAAAGTAGGAGTTGTGGAGGCAAGAAGAAAAAAGTGAAGCACTAGAGTTATGAGATTGAATGACAAAATTTATAGTAAGTTTAGAAGGGAAAATGAAAAGAGTTAAAGTTGGGGAGGGAAAGGGATAGGTGGTAAGGATGACTAAAATTAAGTAACTTTGAAAATTTAAATATTACTTCTAAGTTTGGAATATTACTTCTAAGTTTGGTCCACTACAAGTCTATAATATATGATATATTTATAAAAATATGAAATTTATAATAAAGAATATATAATTAAACGGGTCATATTCGAGTCACCTTCGAGTTGAAAGTCTTGACCCTAATTCTACCCGTTTAATTATCGTGTCGTGTCGTGTCAACCCGTTTACATAAACGTGTCAAAATCTCTGACCCTAACCTGCTAATTTCATGTCGGGTTCGTATCGGGTTTTCGTATCGTGTCATTTTTTGTTAGATGTAATCTTGGCCGAGACATCCTCTTCATTTCTTCACTTCAAATTCCCTTCAAACACTCTCTTATGTTCCCTCTCAAGCACATTGATCTATCTCTTGCAATTTCTGTGATCTTAGTGTACTGATATAATGTACCAAAAAAAAACTTTAAAAACCAACATGTAGAGTGACAATCCCTTGTCATATTAGTAAATACTTTTTCCAATAACCATTATTCGGTTAAAATCTCAATAGATATTAAGATAAATAGAATAAAATAAAAGTACATCATTCGTATTACTGTATATAAATTGGCGCAAGAATTTTCTTTTTTGCCTATTTTAGACATCGGCAGTGTACTACACTGCTACCACACGTTTCGGTGAGCGATAAAACCATGGTCACAAAATCCGTCAACAAAAAGCCCCTGTTTCCTCACTATCGCTCTCCCCCTATAAATTCGGCATCCAGTATTTAATTTATCATTAAGTAGATCCACCACAATCAACGATAATCAGCTATAAACTGAACCGATCTTCCCCTGAGTTCTTCATAATTCATATACAATTAAAGCGATCGACAGATTAGGAATGTGCGGTGGCAGTAAGCACGATCACGGCAGGTGTAGATACGAAGCTGCGTTCCACGCCTTTCAGATGCAAAAGCAGCAGCTACATACCCCGTCAGCAGATGTTAAGCGAGATGGTCTAAGACGATATTCCGGCGAGATGCAGCCGGAAACGAAGGATCGGAAGCGAATCAGGGAACTGGTGAAGGCGGAGAAGGTGCTCCACTTGATTTTGTGGGGACCTAACTCCTAAGTCATGATTTCTTATCAGCTTATTATGCGTTTGATCGGGATTATTAGCCGACTTTACTAGTATATAAATTTGGTAGAAATTAAGGAAAGTTGTATTTCAATGAACAATATAATGATATATGCATATAAAAAAGACGATAGGGGCATGTCATATATGTGTATTTCGCAAAGGATATTTTGAAATAAGATAAATTATTGACTATCATCACAAACTCGACTTGTTGTTTTTTTTTTTTTTAATTTTCATTTCAACATTAAAGTTTCGTATCATGAAGCACAAATACTTAATATACAGATGTGTAGCAACTAACTGTTGACATAACTCTAAAACAGCACAAATAGAAAATAAGGGTTAGAGATAGTGGTTCTATAAATAATTGCTTATGGAAATCATATATGGAAAAATAGAAAAATAATGGTTAAAAGAATTGAATTTTTTTGTTAAAAATAGATATTTCTTTAAAAACATTAAGTTGAATAGGTTGCCTTATCTGGGTTGAGCTCCAAACTTTTGGATTTTGGTCGTGAACCTTGACTCATAGCTAACCATGTTATAGGAATGAGTCTGTTATGGATTATGGGCTAATAACTATATCATGTTCAATGCCATTATTTCAAACATAATCTGGTTGTTATTAATTTATCTATTAAGCGATGAATTATTTTGATTTCTGGTGCGAGTAATGGGAACGATTAGTTATTCTTTATATTTTCAAAATAATCATTATATAAGATTAGATGCATCTATTTTGGTTCATGATAACTTTACAATTAGAATAAGAGCACAAAAAAGATATTTGTATGTTTAAAATATGAACTCTAATCAAACAATTAATATTTTTAAAATTAAGAAATTCTAAAATATTAACAATCTCTAATATTTTTTTATCTCAATAAAACATTTTATAACGCATTTAATTAGTATAGAACAATCATATTTTGTGACAAAACACTCATTTCATATGTGTCAACAAATCTCAACATAAACAACAATAATATACACTTTTTCTTCATCAAACTGATAGTTTACAAGAAAATTCAAGGAGCCACAAAAACTTATGAACCAGGGGCGAACTTGGTGGCATAGACCCATGCATTGTTAGCCACAGGGTCATCCAAATGGTCCAAAAGGTTTTCCAATGGTCCTTTCCCTGTTACAATTGCTTGAACAAAAAACCCAAACATTGAAAACATTGCTAGTCTTCCATTCTTGATTTCCTTCACTTTCAACTCAGCAAATGTAACCGGGTCGTCAGCAAGTCCCAACGGGTCAAAATACTGACCTCCCGGGTACAAGTTGTTACCATCTCCAACACCATCGAGCCCGTTGATACGGAACCCTTCAACTAGGCCCATTAGGACCACTTAAAAACCAAGTACTGCTAGTATGCTTTGTGCGTGGACCAGGTTAGGGTTGCCCAAGTAGTCTAGCCCACCTTCTGAGAAGATTTGGGATCCGGCTTTGAACCAAACAGGCTCCTTGAAATCCACTTTGACCCGTTTTGCAAGGACTTCGGGCGTGATGGAGCCCAGTGCTCCAAGCATTGCCCATCGCCCATGGATCACTTCAAGAGCCCGGTTTTTAGCGAATGCCTCGGGATCAGCAGACAAACCAACTGTATCCCAACCATAGTCGCCCGGGAAATGGGATCAGATCACCGTGGACTTTATCACCAAGTTATCAAGTACGGTCAAGGGACTTGATGCTATTTGGGTTATTATGGATCGTTTGGCCAAGAGTGTTCATTTCCTTGCTATTCAGGAGATCCCGTCGGCCAAGAAATTGGTTGACATCGATGTTTGAGAGGTTGTGGCTCACTACGGGGACCCTACTTCTATAGTCTCAGATCGAGACGTTCGGTTTACTTCCAGGTTTTGGAAGAGGTTCCATGAGGATTTGGGAACCAGACTCATTTCAGTACGGCATACCATCCGCAGACAGATGGCCATAGTAAGAGGACTATTCAGACTCTCGAGGATATGTTGAGAACCTGCATCATTGATTTTGGTGGGAGTTGGGACTCATGCCTTCTATTGGCAGAGAGTCGTGGGGAGCACGAAGATGTTCCTCAAGACGACTGAGCTTATTCAACAAGTTAGACAAATATTGTTGATGGCTCAAAATCGGCGGAAGAGCTATCCAGACCTGATGCCGTTCAGAGTTGGAGTTTAGGTAAAAGATTTGGTACTTATGAAAATATCCCCCTTGGAAGGTTATCATTCCTTTTAGTAAGCCGAGAAATCTAGGCCCGACGTTTATCGGTTCGTTCCGAGTTATGGCTAAAGTGGGCAAAGTGGCCTACCGATTGGACCTACCGGATGAGCTCGGTCAGATCCATAGCAATTTCCATGTTTTGCAATTGAGGAAATGTATGACCGATAAGTGCGTTGTTGTCCCTTTAGATGATATTCAAGTTGATCATCTTCTGACTTATATTGAGCGACCAATGGTGATTCGTGATAGGAAGACGAAGGCCTTGCGCAACAAGGTGGTGCTCTTGGTTAAGGTGTAGTGGCAACACCAAAAAGGCTAAGAGTGGACTTGGGAGCCCAAGGTGGAGATGTGTGAGCACTACCCCATATCTATTTTCAGTTGAAGATTTCGAGGGCGAAATCTAATTCAAGTGGGGAAGAATTGTAACATCTTTCCAAGTAAATGATTTATTTATGTTTTAGAAAATAAAGAAGTAAAATGTGGGTTTTTATGATGAACACGACGTGGTCAAGGACTTATGAGACACACATCATCTTTACGCAGCACGACGTGGCAAATGTGTGACCATGATGTAGTGGCCGCAAGAGTGAAAACCCTAATTTTATGTGTTTTGTACCTTATTTAAGGGATGTGATGGCTAGGTATTTCACATCCTCAACCTCTATCACCTCTCATCAGCCTTGAAGTTGGCAACTTTATGGGTCCTTCAGGTTCCTTTTGATAGGTTTTGGGTAAAACAAATAAACTAGAAAAACAATTCCTAAGTTCACATGCAACCTACTTTGGATCTATGTTTTAACTATTGAACATATAACTTTGAATTGTAAAACAAGAACCCTAAGAAAGGAGGCTATTTTCTAAATCAACCAATTAAGGTTTTAGAGTTACATACCTTTCAATTGATATAGTAAACAATTGGTAGTCCTTTGATCTTGATCTTTTTGGAAGCTTAGCACCACAAATGGAATGCCTCTAATGGAATCACACCCAAGAGCTAGCAAGAAGGAAACTTATGAGGAGAGAGGCTAGGGTATGTAATTAATATATTATAAATATAATATATTAATTGAGGAATCATATTATTTAATTAGTATTGATCAAGAATTAATTTAGTGATCAAAAGAAACTAATTAAATTGATACATATGGATTAGGCTAATGATCCATAATTGATTTGTGATGGGCTTATGGGTTAGTCCATGAAGTGGTTATCCAAATCAAATGGGTAGATCATAAGCTTATGGGTATAGATTAGAGTTACACATGACCCTTGATATTATATATATATAAGCTAAAATTGGTTACATATACACACACATACACCACTTGTACTTCGAAGAGTAAGAATCGATTTTAGAGTCTCCATAACCTCTCCATATTCATGCTAATTGTTCTTGGTGTTTTGTGAAATAGAGTAAATTACACGAATGATCCCTATGGTTTGGGGTAATTTATATGTTTGGTCACTAACTTATTTTTTTTAACTCGGAAGGTCCATGATGTTTGTTTTTGTAACACGATTTGTCATATCTTACCTAAATAGATTATTTTGCCATTGATTTTTTAATTTATTTAAATAAACACACCCCAACCCCACTTCCACATCACCTTACCTTACCTATCACATCTTATTTAAATAAATAAATCAAGGGCAAAATAATCTTTTTAGATAAGATAGGAACCAAGCGCACAACAAAAACAAATTGTAGGAACCTTCCGAATTAAAAAAATAAGATAGAGACCAAACGTGCAAATTACCTAAAACCATATGAACCATTCGTGTAATTTACTCTACTTCACTAAAAAAATAATTTTATTATCTCACAAAATTAGAAGGTATGAAATGAACCTAAATTAATATATTAAATCAAATGTCGTAGTTTTTTAAAACTAAAAGAATTTGAAAAAAAAAAAAATATATATATATATATATATATATATATATATATATATATATATATATATATATATATATTTTATGGTATTAAATGATTATTAAATAATAAGCTTAGATTTTACGAAGATATTTGCAAAAAAGTTTTTTTTTTTTTCTTTTTTTATTATTAATATTTTTGCCTAAAACCTTCTTACATTAACACGCGGAAAGCGAGCCTTTAATCCGCTTCCCTTGTGCTGGTACAACTTAAAACCAGCGGCTTCCATTGATTTACCCGCATCCTGTTTCTGGCATGTCGTCGAACAGAAGAACAGCTCCCATATTTATACCGCATACCTCCAACCCCCAAATCAACAAGCTACCAAATCACCTTCTAAATCCAATCTGATTTTCTATTAAAAAAACTTACAATACCAGAAGAAGATCTTAGAAGAATCGAAGATGAGCAGTGGGGCTGCGATAAAAGCTTGGTTAGTGGTGGCAAGCATCGGTACAGTTGAGGCGCTGAAAGATCAAGGTGTAGCAAGATGGAACGGCCCTCTCAAGGCACTTCACCATCATGTGAAAACGAAGATTCTTTCTTCTTATAACAAATTGATTTCTGATGGCTCTATCAGATCCCTGTTTGTTGGTGCGGAGTCGTCTTCTTCTTTGTCCGCGGTAGAAGCGGCTGGTAAATACGGTTCGAAGAAAACAAAAGCAGAACGAATGAAGAAGGTTATGGATATGAACTGTTTTGGCCCGAATACTGTTAGATTTTAGAAAAAGATAGAAGATGAAAATAAGTACTACCATAATGGAGTATTTGTAGAGATGCCTCTGTATTTGTAATACATTCATTATACATGCAATATTTTGAATCTCAATCTTTGGTGAATGGCGATATATTTTGAATCTCAACGAGTCTTTTGTTTGATAACTGATTACAAATTCAGATACCCTTTTACCAATTTCTAAAAATTGTCCAAAAAGAAGGAATTTTGTTCCTTGGTGTGGTTTTAAAGTTAACTAGTGAAGGTTCTAACCTACGGTTTTATTTAGGACTGAATATCATTATAACGTTTCCAAATTCCAAAGGGCAATTGAACATTGAAATTTAATTTAAGAGACTAATAAAGGGAGAATGCATTATAAAGGAATCAAAACAATGAAAAAAATGATGTTTTTTCTCCCAATTCCACCATTACATTGCAGCAAATTCCCCATAATCAATTTGTCCACCCTACAACAATGGACAAATAGGAATTACCAAAACACCCTTCTATGATTTGTAATTCATCTACACTACCATAAGTAAAAATATGCCACATCAATTGAGCATTTGAAAAAAAAAAGAGAGAAGTAATTTAATAAAAAGGCCACCACTCAAATGTCTGAATAACATTGATTGTGATTAGTCCACTTTGAACATAGTATCCATGAATCTATGGGGCATAGAGGTTAAATTATAAATTTCAACAAAATAACATTTTCGCAAAAAGGGAGCACACGTGTTAAAATTTGAAATTATAGCTATTGATGGAGTAGTTAGTTTCACATTATCAGAAATTATTAAGGAAAGAACCTTGGTGTTTATTTACCGAGAAAATGACAAAAATAGCCATTTACACTAATGACATTACAAAAATAGCTAAAAAATATCGAAATTACAAAATTAGCCAACGATTTCGCAGATGGAGATCCTCCATCTGCGAAATCAGCATCTCATCTGCGAATGTACAAGCACCTAAAGCACAGCTTGTATATTCGCAAGTGTTTTTTTTTTTTTTTTAAATTTTTTTGTGTATATATAGGGGTAATTTCGCAGATGGAGAAGGTCCATCTGCGAAATACTCTCACTCTATCTACGAAATGGTGATTTTTTTTGTCTTTTTTTTTATATAGTTTGACTATGAAATGAATTGGTTTGATTACGAAATCATGTTGCTATATAAAAAGTTTTGTAGAAACTAAAAAAAAAATGATAGTAAAAATATGCCACATCAATTGAGCATTTAAAAAAAAACATTTGAAAAAAAAAAAGAGAGAGAGAAGTAAGTTAATAAAAAGGCCACCACTCAAATGTCTGAATAACATTGATTGTGATTAGGCTAGCATCCACTTTGAGCATAGTATCCATGAATCTATGGGGGCATAGAGGTTAAATTATAAATTTCAACAAAAGAACATTTTCGCAAAAAGGGAGCACACGTGTTAAAATTTGAAATTATAGCTATTGATGGAATAGTTAGTTTCACATTATCAG